AAAGGCATCTGGACTTGATTTCCAGGTCACACATATCACATCATCGTAAGGGTTTCGACTTGTGGTTGGATTGATTAGATTAGGTGCACTACGATAGCTCCCTACATCATGGTATAGGGCATCTGGACCTTATCTCCAGGTCACACACATTAAATCATCCTTAGGGTTTAGTTTCTTTTGTTTGATTGATTGGCTAAGGGCTTGATGCCTTGGCTCGTTTCGAGTTGCCGTAGATTAACCACATAGGATTCTCCCCTCATGTGACATATACTGATCAAAGAACTCATATACATGGTATTGGGTGCTTGGCAGAGATACACACACATCATTGCATATCCTTGATTATGGAATATAGCTACACAGCACTGTATAGGGATGCTGTACCCGATTTCCAGCTCACACACATCACATCATTGTACAGGGACGCTGGACCCGATTTCCAGCAGGTGCAGCTCCCCACCAATAGATGGAGTCTTCAACGCCGGGTGCCTACTTATCGGGGGTGCGCTCCCTAAGTAGGTTTCCAGCATACGAAGTTTAAAAAAAAAAAAAAAAAAAAAAGAGCAGAAGCGCTCCACCGGATGTCAGATTAGACACAATATTGAATTTAACTCAAGGTCATCGCCCTTTAAAAAAAAAACAAAAAAAACAAAAAAAAGACAGCGGACGGGCAGAGTTTCCCCCAGCCAACGAAAACGTGAAAAGGCCCAAACCAGATTTTCTGCCCGCTACTTCTACCCTCTGCCTAGACCTACGACGGACTCCAAAGGCAACAACCCACGTGCAAAGCCCCAAACCAAATTTCGTGCCCGCTACTTCTACCCTCTGCCTGACCCACGACGGACTCCAAAGGCAACAACCCAATACTTATCTGCATCTAGACCGAAACAACGGGACAAGGGGACCTAGACCTATGGCAAGGCAAAAGGAAACGGCTGAATGGCCTAAGGCTACCAAAAAGAGACTGCTAGTGACAGACTCAGGGATCAAGTCCCATAGCGCTCAAAACTAACAAACAAAACCCAAACAATTTACAGGTCACGGGATGAAGTCCCGCAACGCTCAAAACAGGAAAACAAACTACAAAGTCAAACACCTAGTATAGAGCCCCACTGGGAAACTGCGATTTATTGCACTGTTCTGCACCCCGCCCCTCATGTGTCACTTGTCAGATTACAGCTTTCACGAGTCGAAATATGAACATGCAAGATCCAAATAACTCCAATAGATCAGCAAACATGAGGAAGGAAAAAGAAAGGGGAAAAGGAGAGAGACGATAGACGTAGAAGAAGGGAGACATGCAAATAAGCAGTCGTACAACGAAACCCGAACTCGACTTGAATTATGAAAACGTGAAGTACAAAGCGACCGTAGCCGCATGGCGTAGGACTCGACCGGTTTCTCATGGCCGCCCACCACGACTCGTCAGGGTTTGAAAGTCGGTGCTGAAAGTTTCACGCGAGCTGCTTATATCGCACCGGACGACTATCGACAAAGCAAAGACTACGCCTAGAAAGTACCGGGACGCTGGAAATACTTCAAACTAATCTAGTCCTAATAGAGGTTAGGTACCTTGCCTATAAAGCAAAACCCCCAAAGAAAGACCAAATACAGCCTAATAGGAAAAGTCCAGCGACCTAAGTCCAAATCACGTTCGTCAATCAACCAAACCCGAGTTCGAAACCTCCAAAATAATTGTTTCAAACCACGAGTTCAAAAACCCTCGGAGTAACTGTTCCAAAGTAATTGTTACAAAAACACGAGTTCAAGACCCCACAGCTCATCGGCCCTATCCACGACTTCCTCGATCAACCACATCGAGTTCAAAAACACTCCAAAGTAACTGTTCCAAAAAAACACAAGTTCAAGACCCCACAGCTCATTGGCCCTATCCACGACTTCCTGGATCCAGACTCTGTCGCAGTACACGTATCAGCCTACATATTTCATCATCATCTCAAGTCAATCCTACTTTTAACGAACCACCTCGTCAATCATTAACCCCTAAAGCGATGTTTGCATAAACCAATTTCCATACCATTTCCCCAATCTATCAGTAGGGGCAGCCATTGTCCCCACAATCCCCCGAATTTCCTAGAAAAGAAAGACAGAGCATTATCAAAAATATCGTCAGGGTAACCCCTCTTCCACAACTCTTCTTTCAAAGCAAGGATAAAAGGCAGTTTCATTCCCCCAATCGACGAAAAAATTCTCGCTAGATGAAGAAAAGACCCGACCACCGCCATCTTCTGCTGTCGGCTGGAGAAAGACACAAAATCTTGGACGCATTGAAAAACAATCTTCTTACCCTCATGCATCTTCTGGTTCTTCATTCGTGGTAAACAGATAACCCCTGTTTTTCCACTGACCACCCTCAGTTCACAACCCAAATAATCCCATCCGGTATCTGAGCTTGTCCTTTCTAGGATCAAGTCATTGTCATAACACTGACTGAAGTCATCGATAATACCCAAAGCTTTCATCCTTGTTCCCGGATCATTCCACTGACCACCCTCAGTTCACAACCCAAATAATCCCATCCGGTATCTGAGCTTGTCCTTTCTAGGATCAAGTTATTGTCATAACACTGACTGAAGTCATCGATAATACCAAAAGCTTTCATCCTTGTTCCCGGATCATCAATCTTACAGCGAATGAGGATGGAAACATCGTCGACGAAACGGAACCCAGCAAACAGTTTCCTATCACAACCCAAAGAAGACAAGAAGAGAAAACCATTGTAAGCACAGAGAAGACAGGCTAAAGCAGGACTCAAGGATTTTCCCATTGGAATTCCCACAGTTTGCGGAAGGATCCTATCGGCGGCAGATACAAACGTATGACTCAATTCAAAATCAACGAAAGTGCGAATATCTTCCAAATCCACCCTCCTACAGTCAGATTCGATTCTCCCTTTCAGCAGCTTTGCACCCTTTCCACGCTTCTTCACAGCAACTGCCTCAATACCCTTAAAGCTCCAAAACTCAATGACCCAAAAAAGTGCACGAAGAATGGATGCATGCGGTAGGTTTGAAAACATCTCCTTGATGTCAAAGGAGGCACCCATCAGAACATCACCATCGGTCAGATCCCTATTCACGGACTTGATTGCATGCAGTAGTCCATCAGCACACTTTAAATTAAGGTTTGACTTATACGGAAGCCTGCAGAGCATCACGTTGACTGCCTTAGCTACAACCTTACCACCAGATGCGGAACACTCCGGGTACCAGGGGCAGATCGGTCGCCACCTCTCAACGTCCTTGTGCTTGGGGATACAGTAAGCCCTTCCAAGTTTCCCAGACTTCTTCCAAATCCCCACCTTCAACTGAAGTAACTCATAGTCGCCCCTGCACGAACTCATAATCGTATCTTCATCTTCGTCTCTGACAGAAAAGGCGGGGTTTTCCAAAAACAACTTCTCCATGCCTTTTCCATACACGGTCGGGCAACAAACATATGTATCCCCCACATTGTGATCGATCGGTGAACAAACCAGACCGTTGAGCAAATAACTGTAGGGGAGAGCATCATCCTCAGATACGGAAACGCAACCCTCAGCAGAGAAACCGGAGGAACGAAAAGAAGATAGGCTAAACCAGTGCTTCAGCATCGTTGTGGAAATTGTTTGTCCATCAACCTCAGGGAGAGACGGGTGAGCAGAGAGTGAAGACAAGATTGTTTCTTCAGTCTACCAATAGATCGTAGTCTCGAAGGACGCAGAATGTTCCTCGAATTGCACATCCACGTAGGAAAAAGCTCAAAGTTATTAATCCTAAACGCCACATGTCCATTCACCCGAGGGAGTCTAGAATCACACGAAGCACACGAACACAGGAAATGACAAGAGCGAGAAAACGAACGAAAATTATGAATAGTATCACCCACCGTACGGTTCTTACATCCAACAACTCATAGCCGTCGGACCAACATAGATTTCCAAGCGAGACTAATATCTAAACCCGACAGGATTCCACAACATAACATCCAAACTTTGGATTTACAAATGGACTCCTCATACACAATCCGAATCACCAGTCGTTGCCGTACTTGAAACCCAAAACGAGACCGAATGTGCGATGATAACAGACATCTCAATCTAGTCCTAGTCCGGTTTTTGGTAAAGGTGTGAATCGCAGAATATCCATAAACCAGCTGGTCAAAACTCCAGGAAGACATAAGACAACGACTCGAAGGATCACTGTGGAACCCTGCCAGAGGACCTTTAAAAACCAGTGAGCGACACAAAAAGGGAATTACATTGTCCATCGAAAAACAAGAGTCACCCTTCAACCACTCCCTGGCATACCTCAATTCAATACGTCCATGCACACCAGATACAATACGACCCCCATATAAACACTTCAAGATTTTCCACTTATCGATCAGAATATCGCCGCCAGAGCACACAACAGAAAAGCTATGTCATCCAGACTCTCTACATAGATAAAAAATTCTTCGAAGACTTGTCGTAACCAAACCAGGACTAGAGTGAAAACAGATGAACTTAGCAGACGAATTAATGGCATCACAGTTCTCCACCTTTCCCAACCGTCCGCGTCTCCTTCTCTCACGGCACCCAGGCCTACATTTCTTAGTACGTCTCTTCATATCTCGTATGTTGAGCGTCGGACACAACAACCGAATGAAGAATTTCTCAGTTTCCAAAACATCATGCACATAATGGAATAGCCACATAATTAGCACACCCTCTACATCTTAACCATCTGTAGAGTCGTTCATTACGCTTACCTTCATCAAGAACGTTAATGTTTGTCGAGCGATACACATGTTCACCCCACCTCGTATGGACATCTCTCTTAGTACTTCCGACATACATATGACGGCACCATGGTGAAAAAAAAACATAAACAACGGGCCCATTCCACTCGTTAAAATCACTAGCACTGTTTGTCCAATGTTCAGAAATAAACGGAATCAACTTCTTACCCCAAGGCACCTGTCCCAACACCATTAGAAGACAAACTACAAAACTCAACAGTAAGTTCACCGATTTGTTCCGTAGCAACTCAGTAGAGAAATATCTAATCTTACATAGATGTCGAGTAGTATACCAAAGAGAAGTCGCGTCCGGGCAAGACATTAAGAAACCGCTGTGTCTTGCCCGTCATTCGTCCCCAGGTCTTCACTCTCCTCCTCGGTAACCACAGCCAGAGAAACCTCCTTGCCCTTGTCATCCTCGAAGGCTCTGGCCACTCGCTGGCACACGATTTCTTCCTTCGTTTGCTCCAGTTTGGTGTAAACAATCCCTTCCTTGTCACAGATGGCCGATATCTGATCCTTGTTTAATTTCTTCAACCGCTTGCGTTGCATCAGTGCAAAAGCCTCTCGTTCGTCTATCTGCTCGGCTGGAGACATAGCACACATCTTCTTCTTCGCTGAAGTACAACTAGTCTTCCTGGTAGAAGGCCCAGCTGCCTCATCTAACTTACTCTTCAGATTAGTACCCTTCTCTCTTGCCATCTCCAACTTGGCCATAGCTTCTTTTAACCTTTCCACTTCTTTCTTCTCCTCAATCCTGTCGTGCGCATCTTTCAAGCGCAACTCCTTCAACGTGTTGACCTCGAGGTTATGCCGATCCACCATTCCTTTGAGAACAGGGTTGACTCGAGGGTCTGTAGGTGGCTTGCAAGGTGTTCCACGCTGACGTACTCTCGCCTCCGTGCCAGGGGTTTCAACAGCGATACTCCCTCTTTTGTTCCCTGGGCGCAGTGCTTCGGCCTTCCAGAGCTCTGCGCTTGCCTCAGCATCACTTTTCTCCTTCACCAAACCAGAAATCTTTTCTTCTAGCATAGCAAACCTTCTATCAGCAACCGCACGCAACTCCTCTTGTTCTCTCTTCAACCGTTCAACACGCTCGAAGTCAACAGGTGGCTTAACCACGGAAGTAGATGCCTCACCCGAAGCGTTACGCTGCGCCAGTTTGGCAATTTCTTCCCGTAGCTTGGCCACCTCATTGCCCTCCTTATATTTCTTGTCTATCTTTTGACATACCATCTCCCATCGAGAGTTCAAATCCTCTCGCATCTTCGACTGCCATTCCTCTCGGTCTAACTTCTCACGTAGCCTACGATCCTCCTCTTCTTTCTCCTTCATCTTCCTCTGTTCTTCTTCCTTAGTAGCCTGCTCCCTGGCCTCATCCGCGTCGTGCTTCTATTTAATCTTCGTAACGATTCCGTCGAGCGTAGACACACGGTTACGTAACCAACCACGATCGGAGTACTGACCGGATGTGCCGGACCCGCCGGGATGGCGGTCCGTTACGATGGAGACGAAGAAGGAGGTAGAGAAGGAGCTGGAGGGGACA